CATGGCGGCAGAGCCGTGCTCGTAGGGCAGGTGACACACCGTGCCTGGCGTCAGCGCCGTGCCCGAGGGCAGCTGTCCCGCCTGGATGTGGAGCATCGACAAGTCCGAAGGGGTTAAGATCTTTCTCGGGAACCTCCGCCGGTACAGTTCTTTAATCTTCATCTGGACAGCCGGGCTGCAGCCAGACTTCAGCAGCTGCAACGCCTTGGTCAGAAGTTCGTGCTTCCTTCCACTTTTGTTCCTTCCAGCAAAGCCCAAGAGAACTTGTAATTCTGATACCCTAAAGCTCATAACCATATGCTGCAAGAAAATAAAACAACCACCGTTACGACTGCTGCGTGAGCAGACACAATCCGAAAAACAAGCCATGGGTTCATGAAGGAAGGTGGTGGAGGCCTTAAAAGAGACACCGTCAAGCCTGAAGTTCCCCTGTCCTTGTCATCAACAACTCGTCAGTGGCAGAACTGTAAATATTTAGGTTTGTTTTTAATTTTAGATACTTTGCTTGGATCTGGAAATGCAAAAGGTCACATTCGCTTCCTGATTCGATGGACGCCCGAGCAGTTTCCGTACCCGAACAGCTGTTAAAGCACCTTCCCTTCGAAGCAACGCTGACGATTTCTTGTAGGGTCAACGCGCGTTTAAACTAAAGCTCCTGTACCCGTCTGGGTTCAAAGCTCTCATCTGCAGTCCCCTTCAGGCTGGCCCAGCAAGGCCAAGCCCCAGCGTGACTGCGCAGCTTTTCAGTCATTGCTTTTACTCTTTTGTTTCAAAAATATCCTGTGGGAATGCCTGGCTTTGGCCTGATGGTTTTTACGGAGACACATCAGACATCAAATCCGAAAACAGACATCGAGCACTAGCGAGAAAGGCTGCAGTTAAGGGAAAACTGGCACCGGGCACCCGCTCTACACCGCGGCTGGCACCGCTCAGCAGCCACCTGCTACTTCGCACGAGTCCAACGAGCCCGACAGGGTGAAGTTGGAACCCAAAGCAGAGAAAAATACAGAATTATTCCCATTCCACAGGAGGGAAAATAAAAAGGGTCTTGGAGACCTCTCCGCAGCCCCACCAGCCAAGTTAGCAGCAGACCCAGAAGCTCAGCTCCATCTCAGTGCTGTTCACAACACCCTCCTTCTCCCGCAGTCGTACCACGGTTTCAGAATTACTGAGCTCAGCAGAAACACCCATGGGATGACAGGGCGCCATGGCAGCACGTATATACTCCTGTGCATACATACATACGTACCTCGCAGAGCACAATCTTTTCCTTCATGCACGCAGAAAAGGGTTCAACCTTGAACTCCCAACACTCTCCCTCTTAAATGCGAAAGGGCACACAGAGTCTCACCACCACTCTGCATCTAGAAAGGCTCCCCCCTTTAGGCTCCCAAAACACAACCGACTCAACAGCAGTATTGTTCTCCAATTAGTTACAACTTTGTGGGGTTTAAATCCACAATTTGGGCTCCACGGAGGGGCTTCATCCGGCTGCAGTGGAGCACCGGAGGGTAGGGGGGAAAGGCTGGCTTCTGTGAGTTCAGAAATGCCAAAAAACCACAATCCCTTCGATAAAGGAAACGCAAAATAGAAGCTGAAACCTCGTCGGTGTAACAGCAGGCATGTTCTGCACTCGGAGCGATTCCCAGACCCAGTGGAGCGAGCTCTCCTTCGAGGAGAGCTGACGGGAACACCCCACGTCTTACAGACCAAGGGTTCTGGAGTCGCTTCTGCGTACCGAATCCAGAGGCACGCCTCCATCATCCACGGGGCAGACCGCTTCGACGCTTCGCGGGTTCTGGTCCGCGTGCCAAGGGGGTCTGAGGCAGTTTAATACCCACGCATGGAAAACGCAGCGTCTCCCGAGGACAACGCGACAGATGTTCCACCTCCCGGGGGAGAAGAGAAGGCAAGTATTTGGTAAAGCTATCAAAGCCAGCCCTGTCGCTACAGAAAGTGCCGTGCGGTCCCCGAAGCGGAACAGACACAGCGTCAGATTAAGGTTTCGTGTCGAAAAGAACCCGTCGGTCGCACGGGATTCGCCTGTGACCTTTGCTGGGTGATACGCTCAAGAGAACAATGACTGACTTTGATTTTTTTCCCCTTTTTGGAGCCCGGGGAATTTGCAAGCAGCAGGAAACCTCTGTCATTTAAGAGGAAAAAGCTCGACGTGGGGTCTCTCAGCTTTGACAGTGCCTGTTTTAAACACCTCCCAGAAAAGGTCCATTAGGAATGCACACCTATCAAACGTCCATCCCTCCCCTTCTGCGCCAGCCATCGCAGCAGAACCGACCTCTTCCCACACCCGCTGTTCCCACACATCCTCCGGACAGAGTCCTTCAACCAGCAGGAGATTCGTGTAGCATGGCTCACCAGCACGAGATTCACATTTATCGTTAAAAAACACTCGCATTCGTGCCATAGGATGGCTGTGTCACCACCGCTGCAGCAGCTGTGGACTCTTATCTACCCCCAAAGCCTCTCCGATTCCTGCTCAGCGCATCAGAGCAGCGGAAAAACCTCTCTTTCTTGCCGTAAGAGATGGCAATCGAGAGCTCCCAGAGGGCACCTGAGGCCTGGGCAGCGGCTGGATCCGCAGCAGGCCCACGTCGATTGTGCCGCTGTCGAACGCGGTACGACTGCAAACCTCTTCTCCTTCCTGGGGAGTCACCGCTCGGGCTTTTCAATCAAGGAAAGGGTCTTAAGCCAACTACAGGCTTTATAAGGAGAAATCGGTTCGTTTTCAACTGGCTCGTCTTGCTTTTACAATGAGACACAGATGGTAAAAAGCTTAAACAAACTCCTGGCGAGGAAACCAGGAAGGGGGTTAGGGGTGAGGGAGAGGGAGCAGAGATTCAAAAATTAACTGAAGAAGCCTCAAATCACGCCGAGCTCCACCAAAAGGGCTGGTGGCCAGGGGGCCAAACCCCGGGGACATAAACCTGTGCGCTCAGCCACACCTGGGCATAACCCACAGTTCCTCCGCAGGGATTTATCCGCAGAGGGAGCGGAGCAGAAAACACGACAGACACTTCGCCCTGGGCTGCGCTCGGCTCTCCCGTTTGCTAAACCACGTCCCCACACGGCGGGATCACGGCCGGGGCTGCCGGAGCTCCACTGCTGCGCTGTCCCCAGTCACCCAGTTACAATTATCGGATCCAATTTCTCCGCTGAGATCGTTAACGTTTTGCCACTTGACAGGGCTCCCGTTGTAGTCAGGCTCAAGTTTTGTGGGAGGGAGAAAGACCACGCCACAAAGCTGCATCAAAAATACGGACAGGGCACTGCTGGAAAGATTACGGACAAATATTACTCCGGAGAATTATGTTCTTGCTGTGGCTGGCTGCCAGAAAGGTGCCAGTTCCCCAACGCCTTCCTGTTCCCAGCGCGGGGAAGGGGGCAGGACTCCTAGGCCACCCCAGCCAGCTAAGACCTACGTTTCAGCCTGTGGGGGAAAAAATATTAAACCGCCAACAAGGAGGAAAAAAAAAAGAAAAATCAGCTTTGGAATTAGTTACCAGGGGCAATTTCATATTCCACAGTCTGGTGGGCAAAGGTGGTGACACACTCTGACTCCTAAAAAAACGAGAAAGAGAGAGTGGAGGGAGATGAAACCCCATCCAGCTGTGAGCACTGGTGCAGCACTACCATGTTACACACTCTCTGCTCCCCCCCCGCCACGCTGCGCCCCGCACCGTCCCCCGCACCGTCCCCTC